CCCCCCCCCCTCCCTGTAGCCCCTCCAGGCACTGGCAGCTGCTCTAAGGTCCCCCCGGAGCCTTCTCCAGGCTGAGCATCCCCAGCTCCCTCAGCCTGTCCTCATAGGAGAGGTGCTCCAGCCTTCGGATCATCTCCGTGGCCTCCTCTGGCCCCGCTCTAACACATCCGTGTCCTTCTCATGTTGGGCGCTCCAGAGCTGGACGCAGGACTCCAGGGGGGGTCTCACGAGAGCAGAGTAAAGGGGCAGAATCCCCTCTTTCGCCCTGCTGGCCACGCTGCTCTCGATGCAGCCCAGGGCACAGTTGGCTTTCTGGGCTGCCAGCGCACATTGCTGGCTCATGTTGAGCTTCTCACCCACCAGCACCCCCAAGTCCTTCTCCTCAGGGCTGCGTAATGACTATGCAACTATGATAATTAGTTCCAGGAAATGGAATAAATATGTATGAACATTCCAGGAAACTTAATGCACATGCTTGTAACAGGGTTGTAGAAGCTTGAGGTGAGGCGACATACGGCATGCACGTTAGGAGGAGCGATCCCCCGTGCGTCCGGCGCCGTGATGAGGAGTGCCTGCTTTTTAATGACACATTGGCCTTAAGAAGTTTTACTCCCGATTTCGGTGACAGTTAGGACATTTTTAAAGGCGGCTTGCTGAGCCCTGCCTGACGTCAGGCCCTGGCAGCGTGCCTCGTCCCCTCTCCTCGCCCATCCCGGGTTGCTGGGCCCCGTGGCAGGAGCTCCCTGAGCCGCTCTCCGTCGCCGGAAGCACGAGGCTGCGGATGGCACCGTGCTTTGCGCTGACGGGGTTGCGGGCTCCTGGCTGGCGCTTGCAGCGGGACACGGGGACAGGGAGAGCTGGCTCAGGGTCATCGGGTGCTCTGTGCCCCTGTCTGTCTGCGGCAAACGGGGACAGCCGAGCGCTGGGACAGCCCTACGGGAGAAACAAGTGAGTTGCCTGGTTTTCAAAGCTGCCTTTGGGGAAGGCTTAATACAGTGGTTTTCCATAGTCTCTCAATCTACAGCCCCTAAACTTTTTCCTAATGGCACACTGGACCCTGGAGTCTCTTAGCCATAGCCTGGCTTCTGCTAGTTGCCTTCTTCAGGCTCTGTGGAGCCATATTCTTCTCACCAGCAGTGCGGGCGGCAGGCTGAAAGCCACGACTGCACCAGGAAGCCCACTCGCAGCCCTGCAGGTCTGGCGTGACGAACAAGATTGGTCTCTGAAGAGCTCCGGTTACAGGAGAGGCCCTTGGCAGCAAACCAGCAGATTCCTCCGTGAGCAATGCGGTGCCGCACAGAAGACGGGAGGACGTGTAGGAAGCGATGCTGCTCACGAAGACCAGCAAAGGGCTGGATATTCTGACATAAAAGACGAGTTATTCAGAAACTGCAGTGAGCGTAGGAAGAAGTGACTTGCAGGACCGTTCCCCGCCCACTTCATGTCTCGCTGATCCGATTATCTCAGCACTGTGCTAATGTATCCGCCACAGCGCTACTGAGGCACCAAATACGACGTTAAATAATTCATCACCATAAATCACAGCCCCTCTGAGCAGGAGAGCTTCTGGGTGACATGAGATTGCGCCTCCTGGGCGCGCTTAGCCGGTAGAGGAGGAGGGTGGCCAGGTCGCAGGGGCCATGTCCTGAGCGTGCTGGCAGGGTGTACCCCAGGTCGTCTTGGGGCGCTCGGTGCAAGCTTTTCCATTTCTGTGGTCTCAGAGGAGCTCAGGTGAATTTGATCGATCCTGAAGCTGCCTCGAGGTCTCATCAGCTTTTCCTTCTGCCTCTACCATAGCACAAGAACAAGGCCCATTTGGTAAAGCGGGTAGCAAATCGATGTGTAACCAAAGAGCAAGGACTCCAGACAAGCAGAATTCTCTACTCCAGGGCATCGCGGCTTTTTTTACAAGTTGGCTCATAGAAGAACACGTTTTCTTGTGCTGAACAGTTTGATACCTGGACACCTTTTAGACGAGATGCAGAAAGACCTTGACAGATCTCAGCCTTCTGCCTCAGGGCATGGACCCGGTTGCTGCAGGGGCTGGGGAGGAATCCATCCTTCAGGGAAACGTGGTGATTTCACAGAATCGTAGAATCATAGGTTGGAAAAGGCCTCTAAGATCATCAAGTCCAACCAAGCAGCAGACAGCGCCTGTGCCAGAGGTGAGGTACCCAACTGGCTGGGCTTGACAAGAAGCAGGGAAGCTTACAGTCCTGGCCAGATCCAGAATTGTACCCAAGGCCTCTCCACAGGAAAGAGGAGGGAGAAGCTGGGTCTCTGGAGCAGGCGGGTTGAGCGCAGTACGCTCCTCGCAGCTGCGTGAAAGCGCCGTGCTCCGTGCGCCGGGTGGTCACGCCGTGCTGAGGAGGCAGGGACAGCTGGAATTCATTGAGCTGCTGCTCCGAGGCGCTTGCTGCAGCCCCACGCGCTGGCCCAGCCACCGTGCCAGAGGTGCCAGAGGTGCGTCTGTCCCTTCCTTCCTGTGCCCCTGTGTTCCTTCAGCTCTGGGAGGGAGTCTGAAGCCAGCGCTGCATGTTCAACTCCCGGTTATCCTGTTTCTCAGAGCATTTTTCATGTGCCGTTTGTAACTCAGCTGTAAATATCTGCTCTCTGTCTGGAAGAGCATCTCTTTGCCCCTGTGTGTGCAGAGCTACACCTGAGCTAAGGTGCTCCCTTCCCTGACCCAGCTGCATGAGTAGCACTGTCCCACTGACCGGAGCCGTACCCACCTTGTGGCAGGGGGGCACTGGGGTTCTGGTGCCTGGGTTCTAACCCTGTGACTGGGTGCAGGGAGCAATCGGGGGGCCAGGCGACCTGTCCGGGCATGCGGGTGCCTCCTGACTTGGGCTGCTCTTGTCTGAGCCTGTAGCCTTGGGAAAAAACGAGCTCTTGAGTACGACCGGTGCTAAGAATTTTAATAAATACTTCCTTACAAGGCCTCAGAGCAGGGGAATCACAGAATCCCAGAATGGTCAGGGTTGACAGGGACCTCTGTGGGTCACCCAGCCCAACCCCCTGCCCAAGCAGGGTCACCCAGGGCAGGATGCACAGCACCGCGTCCAGGCGGGGCTGGAATATCTCCAGAGAAGGAGACTCCACAGCCTCCCTGGGCAGCCTGGGCCAGGGCTCCGTCACCCTCAGAGGGAAGAAGTTCTTCCTC